CCATTGAGTTCACCAATGATTGTAAGGTCATGGAATGTCAAAAAAAACTTTTTTTGACATCGTAAGGATAATGAAAAACTTCTTAGTCCTAAAGTACTGTATCTTATTGTAATTAGAGCACTAATATATCTCGCTAGCAATACATGACTTGATATATCATTTTTTGTGAATTTATTAGCAAGATATAGTTCTTTTTCAACTCAAAGACATTGGAATTAAATTAAACATATACTTCGATATCTTCGAAGAACAATGGATATGGGCTTATATTATTCAAATGCATCAAAATCGAATTTAATTAGTTATGCAGTTGTAGAATATTCATTTGATCTACACAAAGCTAGATCTCAGATATGTTACTTGTTCACATATGGAGGTATGACTATTTCATAGCATTTTATAAAGTAAATTATAGTTGCTATTTCTTCTAACCGTACAGAAATTTTAGCAATTCATAAGCAAGTCATGAATGTGTTTGGTTAATATCTATAACTCAACATATTCAAGAAACGTGTAGCTTTTCAACTAAGAAAAAAATTTCAACAACGTTATATAAGGATAATACTCTTTATATAACACAGTTAAAGGAAGAATATATTAAAGGGAATCGAATAAAACACGTAGTTAGTCAAAATTCTTCTTCACACATGATCTCCAAGAAAAAGTTAAAATTAATATTTAACAAATTTAGTCAAGTGACAATCTACCGGATTTGTTCACCAAAGCCCTTCTTAGTACAATATTTGAAAAGATTGGAATGTATCATTTTAAAGATCTATATAATGCAGCCATTAAGAAAAGTAAAATAAGCACTATACTATTTTCCTTCATCAAGATTTTTTCCCATAAAGTTTATTTCTTATAAGGTTTTAACGAAGCATATTCTTAACACAATGGATATTCAAGGGGAGTGTTGTGAACAAATATGTGAATGCCCATTATATTATGACCCAAGAAGTGCAAACCAAGTCAAACAGCCTAATAGGCCAAATATAAGAAATGTCATATGATTTGAACTCTTAGATAGAGTTAGATTAAGATTATAATTCAAGGGGTTATTGGCCTATAAATAGACCCCTTATTTCATTTGTAAATACATAGTTGATTAAGATCTTCTTACTCTCTTTAAATATTTTCTTTCCTTCTAAATATTTTTTTTATATTTCTTTTATAATTGTTCTTTTCAGATTTATTTCATAACAGATTATAAATATTTATTAATATATACAAAAAAAATTTTTAAAATTTATTTTTTATTTCAAATTGAAGTTTAGATTTTTGTAAGTATTAATAATTGAATTCAAATATTAAGTGTTTATTTTATTTAGATTCGGATATATAATATAAAAAATTAAATTTTAATTAGATTCGAGTTTAAATATTTTAAAATTAATAAAACGGTCTATTATGTTGTCTCAACTTTAATGACATGGAAATAAAGAAATCTACCAATGACTGTGGTATTGTTCTCTCTTACTCAGATGGTTTCTATTTCGATGTCTTATTTAGTATATGAGTACCATTACAACTATTTATTAATATATATTAAAATTTATTTTTTATTTTGGGTTTAAGTTAGATTTTTTTAGTAAGTATTAATAATCCAATTTGAGTATTAAGTGATTTATTTTTATTCAAATTTGAGTATGGTACGAGTAAATAAATTTTAATCGAATTTGAATCCGGATATTTCAAAATTAAGGAGTTGTCAATCTTAATCTCTTGCTCCAAATTTGATGGCAAAGAAATATAGGGATCTATCAATAAATGTGGTATGGCTCTCTGCTCACTCTGGCGGTTTTTATTTCGATCGTCTCCCAATTCACAACCCCGGTAGACTGATGCAGTGATGATGTTCGATTATTATCAAGAAATGATGAAATTGCTTACATCTATTGAACCCTGAATCAGTAGCTAATGTGACAAAGTTTCATTGCCTGTTGGGCTCCTCCTTCATCTTCATCATTTCTCTTCCATGTCTTTCTTCTGAAATTTGTAAGATATAGAAACAGAGCTAAAAGCATCTGATCCTCTGACCAGTGGCGAGCCAAAGATCATAAATTGGAGAGTCAAACGCTTTTAGCTCTGTTTCTGTTCTTTTTAGCAGAGGAAATACTAGCTACTCTTTAAATAATCCATCTTGATTAGCAACTAAAATGGTAGTAGTAACTTGAGGAGCTACCCAGTTAGAGAAAATGAAACTACTCTGTTTGTGCTCTGTTTTCAATTCCATATTTATCGGCAAAAATGATAGAAGAAGTAGCCCCATGAATATGATCCGATCAAGGAAGAAAAAAAATTATTACTAATCAGTATATTTACAAAGCATATTTTATCATAATTACAAGAAATCCTACAACAGTTGAAGCCATACGAATTAGACAAGCTTCTTTGCTACATTAACAAACAGAGACTCCTCGGAAGGAAATACCATAGCACCAAAAATTTTAAGTGGTCTTTGCACTTTGACACGATACTCAACAGCGCCAGCTTGTTCTTCCGCACTGTAAAACGCAACTCTATCACCAACCTTCAGCTTTTTGCTGCAAACAAACTCTCGCCATCCTTTGGTAAGAACCGGCTTCAGGTACTTGTTGTTGTTCATGTTCTTACGAGTGTAAATTCGAAACTTCCAGACATGGCCACTCTCCTCGTCCCTAACCGCAAAATCCACCATGTGCTTGTCACTTAGAGGAGGGAAAGAAGGGAGGGCCCTGCTTGGGATCGTCAATCGTTTCTCGATATCCGTCTTCTTAAGATTCTTTAGGACTATCGCCATTGATGAAAGTAAAGAAAGAGGTCGCTCAAGGTTTTTCTGTCTTGGCTAAACAAACGATGTGGCTTTAAATAAGGAGAAGCAAAATGGTCCCAACAGGTTCCGTAAAGGATCTTTCACTCCTAAACAGATTGAATGAACAGGCCCGAATCTGGCGATTTTCAGAGAAAAGGTGTCCCAATGCTTAATAGATAGTGCGGTCACAGCCGATTCTCAGGTTTTCCCTAATTTTTTTTTTACTCTTCTTTGTCTAAACTGGGCAATGATACATGTGGGGTAACGCTCGAATTTCCTGTTCTGTCGCGCGATATCTAGTTTATCTTCTCTAGGATCGGAAGTCTTGAGTATACAGTAGCACAGAAATCCTGGAAAAGATTTATCAGTAGGCAGTAGCGCGATTTTGATCGAGTTTGTGGCTGTGGCTCGCGTTTCCACCCAAAGTCAATAAGCAACCATGGCTTAACTGTATTACATATCTTAATGTGCACGTTTTACAAATTTCCTATTCATTAAAATTTTGGAGAATTTTAATTGCATCAGCACCGGTGATCTAGAAAGTAGTACCCCAAACATCTCGAGGATCACAAAACGACAGAACCCATGAAGTTAGCTAATCTAAAAGTATTAGACAGTTGGTCCCACACATGGACCAATCATGTTGTGTCTAGCGAGACTTGGAGATCTTGTTCGGTTCTAGGATGTTAAACTCGCGATGGTTGCGAAAAGTGGCCCACTTCTTGTCTTTTCCTTGTTGTGCGAATGTGCGATGGGAAAGCGAAAGTATTCTCCTAATATTCTATTCATGAAGCAATAAGGTCGCGAGACCAAGCAAAAAGGTTAGCTCTTTTTAACTTTCTTCATGTAAACTGAGACGTTAAATCACTGCTACTTGATGACTGTAATGGAGATAACAGCTGCTGCTGAATCTGATATTGATGACTATACTGCAAATTCCAGCCATCTATACTCCCTTGGTTCGTTGGCGAGGATTTCCGCATTCCGCGAGTCTCGAGTAATTGATACTTTAGGCTCGCTGCTTTCCAATAGGCACATGCTTTGCAAAAGTTTACCAGTCCAGGGAATTTCATTTAGAGTCAATAATTGGGTTCAACGCTGTTCCTTTCTCCATGGGTTTGCTTAGATAGAGGCGGAAACAAGGTGCAGCGAGGGCAGATTTGCACTGCCCTGCAACCTTTTTGATGCATCCAAGCAGGTGTGAGGCTTTGGAGTAAGCTTGGGGAGTGAGGGTATCTATTATGAATGTTAGTCATGTGAATGCCAGTAATCATGAATTCTATTTTTATATTGTACCCTGTCAAGTGAGATTGTAAATAGCAACTCCCTTGTATATGTTATGAAATACCAATCAAAATAAAATACCCTTCAACTCATTTTCACTCTCTGTTTGCTTATGGTATCAAAGCATCTGACCCTTAACCCTTTTCTTTTCTTTCTTGTAAATAAAATCACCTCCAGCAGCTTTTATTTCTAATCAAGTAATGATTTTCAACAACTATTATATTTCCTATATATAAAATTAATTTTTTTTAATTTATAATATCCACTTTTAAATTCGATTTCCCTTATTTACTCTTTTTTCTTTTAACTTCAATTTGTTTTTTAAAAGTAAAAAGTTTACTATGTTATTATCTTCATAAAATCATAAATCTTATTTACAATTTGCAACAAGTATTCAAGAATTAGATACAATTGTTCTAATCTTTGTAGATATTTTTATTTTAATTTAAAATTTATATTATATTATTATATTATTTTTATTTTATATGATAGTTAATTTATTTGAATTAAAAATCTTGATTTTATGTTAACTATTTAAAAATTATAAAATAATTATAATAGTTAA